TCCTGTCATTTTTGGGTTGGCAGCTGCTATTTGGCTGTTAGATTCAAATACACTTTGTTCATAGGCAGTGGACAGAGAATTCCTTACCAATTAAGCAAGCAGAGACTGGAGGCAAAGAGCCTAGGACAACGGCCCTGGTGACCTTTGTCTTTGGTGTGCTTGCCCACTTCTGGGATTATGATTCCTTTTAATCTTCCACTTTTTAAATTATTTTTACTTTTTAAAAAAAAATTTGGCCACACTGAGAGGCATGTGGGATCTTAGTTCCCCAACCAGGAATCAAACCTACACCCGCTGTATTAGAAGCATGGAGTCTTAACAACTGGACCATCTCATAATCTTCCACTTTTTAGACAACACATATTTAACGCTGCTCTTTCATATTTGCTAACTTAGGCTGATGATCTGACATGTCTGCATTTTTTGACTGTGATGTCATTCACATGTTTCTGACAAATTTTTTAGAAGTAGATGACTGAGTTTATTTTCAGCAATGAGCTCAATTGCCAAAGCAAGGAATTTAATGTAGAATCTCTTGGCAAGGAAACTGATAGGAGGGCCTTCAAGACCTAGCTGATCCAATCACAGAGCAAGTGACCAAGGATCTCTCCTAGCATCCTTGCAACATGTAGGGGTGGAGGGCAAAGGATATATCAGAAGTGTTCCCTATTTTCAAGGAGTCTGCAGTTTGTGGCAAAAATTCATGAATGTGGTACAATTAGAGGTAGGAGTCCTGAAATCACACTCAGTTGTGACTCAGAAAATGGAAGGGCCAGCATGACCAAGAATAGAGTTAAGTTCTTATTCTAGAAGGAATAAGACCTGAGTGTGATCCTGGGGCAGGGTTTCTGAATCTGGGAGTCTAAACCAGGTAGTCTGTAAGCTTGGATAAGGAAAAACTACACCTCCATTTGCACCAACTCCTAATGGAAATTTAGCATTTCCATCCATGATGAATGTAGGCAACAAACCACAGTATTATAGAGCACTCATGACTACCAGAATCACAGATTTTTCATATTCCTCACAGTTGCTATTTTCCAATAATGCTCACATGCATCACCACCACTTCAATATTAAGCTAGTTATGAGAATGGCCAATATATATTCTTGTTTATTCAATTAATGAAGGAGATTTACTTATATCCATTTTGAAAAAGATTTTGGTTACGATAGTTCAATATAATTATTCCTTACTGTAATCTCATGTTTTATTTCATAAATTTGAAAACCTTATTCTAATGTCCAGCAGTTTTGGGTCCTCAGCTGCTATCTTAGTCCTTGGTACATGGGTTGTTGTTTGTTGTTTAGTTGCTAAGTCATGTCTGACTCTGTGCAACCCCATGTACTGTAGCCTGTCAGGCTCCTCCGTCCAAGGGATTTTCCAGGTAAGAATACTGGAGTTGGGTTGCCATTTCCTTCTCCAGGGGATCTTCCTGACTCAGGGACCATTTCCTGCATTGGCAGGCAGATCCTTTACCACTGAGTCACCTGGGAAGCCCTTGGTACCCAATAGTTGTTTGACAAATAAATGAAAAAATAAACAACAGGGGTACAAGTCTGAAGAGACAAGATGGAGCCACATTCCTGACTTAGCAATTAGAAAATGCATAAATATGCTTTATTTATGTGTTATCAGATTTCAGAAAAAAACCTTATGTGTTAGAATAGATAGCATACAACAAGATAGAATAAGCTACCTGAAAACTAGGCAAGGAAAGAGTAAGTTGAATCAGGAATGAGATTGAAAATTGAGATCATAGAAAATGTAAAGATTTAGTTCTTTGATTTCTTTCATCAGTGTCTTATAGTTTTCTGTATATAGCTCTTTTGTCTCCTTAGGTAGGTTTATTCCTAGGTATTTTATTCTTTTAGTTGCAATAGTAAATGGTATTGATTCCCATTTTTCTTTCTGATTTTTCATTGTTAGTATATAGGAATGCAAGTGATTTCTGTTTATTGATTTTGTATCCTGTGATGTTACCAAATTCACTAATTAGTTCTAGTAATTTTCTGATAGTGTCTTTAGGGTTTTCTATGTACAGTATCATGATGACATAAACAGATGGAGGGATGTTCCATGCTCCTGGGTTGGAAGAATCAATATTGTGAAAATGACTACACTACCAAAAGCAATCTACAGATTCAATGCAGTCCCTATCAAATTACCAATGGCATTTTTCACAGAACTAGAACAAATAATTTCATAATTCTGTATGGAAATACAAAAGATCCCGAAAAGCCAAAGCAATCTTGATAAAGAAGAATGGAGCTGGAGGAATCAACTTGCTTGATTTCAGACTACACTACAAAGCTACAGTCATCAAGACATTAAGGTACTGGCTCAAAAACAGAAGTATAGACCAATGGAACAGGAAAAAAAGCCCAGAGATAAATCCACGAATATATGGACATTTATCTTTGACAAAGGAGGCAAGAATATACAATGTGAAAAAGACAGTCTCTTCAATAAGTGGTGCTAGAAGAACTGGACAACTGCTATAGAATGAAATTAGAACATTTAGTAACACCATACACAAAGATAAACTTGAAATGGACTAAAGACCTACATGTAACACTAGAAACTATAAAACTCTTAGAAGATAACAGGCAGAACACTATATGACATAAATCATAGCAAGATCCTTTATGATCCACCTCTTAGAATAATAGAAATAAAAACAAAGACAAATAAATGGGACCCAATTAAACTTAAAAGCTTCTGCACAGCAAAGGAAACCATAAACAAGGTGAAAAGACAACCCACAGAATGGGATAAAATAATAGCAAACAAACAACTGACAAAGAATTAATTTCCAAAATATACAAGAGCTCATACAACTTAATACCAGAAAAACAAACAACCCAATCAAAAAGTGGGCAAAAGACCTAAACAGACATTTCTCCAAAGAAAACATACACAGATGGCTAATAAACATATGAAGAGATTTTCAACATCACTGATTATTAGAGAAACGCAATTCAAAACTAGAATGAGATATCACTTCATCTCAGACAGAATGGCCATAATAAAAAAATCCACAAACAACAAGTGCTGGAGATGGTGTGGGGAAAAGGGAACCCTCCTAAACTGCTGGTAGGAATGTAAATTGTTACAGCCACTATGGAAGACAGTATGGAGATTTCTTAGAAAACTAGGAATAAAACTACCAAATGACCCAGCAATATCACTTCTAGGCATATACCCTGAAGAAAACAGAACTGAAAAAGACACATGTACCCCAGTATTCATTGCAGCACTATTTACAATAGCCAAGACATGGAAGCAACCTAGATGTCCACTGACAGATGAATGAATAAAGAAGTAGTGGTACATATATACAATGGAATATTACTCAGCCATGTAAAGGGATGCATGTGAGTCAGTTCTAATGAGGTAGAGGAACCTAGACCCTATTACACAGAGTGAAGGAAATCAGAAAGAGAAAAGCAAATATCATATATTAACACATATATATGGAATCTAGAAGGACGGTACTGATGAATCTGTTCACAGAACAGCAGTGGAGATGCAGACATAGAGAACAGACTTATGGACAAGGATGGGGGAGAAGAAGGAAAGCGTGAGATAAATGGAGAGGGTAGCATGGATGCACATATACTAACATATGTAAGTAGACAGCCAATGGGAATTTGCAGTATGACTCAGGGAACTCAAACTGGGCTCTGTAACAGCCTAGAGGGGTGAGAATGAGTGGGAGGTGAGAAGGAGATTCAAAAGGGAGGGGACACATGTACACCTATGGTTAATTCATGTTAATGTATAACAGAAATCAAACCAACATTGTAACCAATCATCAACGATTAAAATGAATAAATATTAAAAAAAAGATTTGGTTCTAATAGGCAACACAAAAAGAAAATCCTAATAGCTGTATAATTCACATGCCCTTAGGAAAATTAAAACAATTGGTTGGGAGAAGCTGTAACAGTGATTTCTCCTCAAGATTTAATTAAAGAAGAACCAAAATTTGCTTTCTTACCACGGTTTGATGGAAGTGATGCATTCCAGACACAAGCCAGGTCCAGAAAGCTGGATCTCAACCAAAGACTGAGCAAGAGCTCCACAGAAGGACAAGAAATAGGGCTTATTTTAAAGAAGACACCAGTTAGAGAAGCAGTGAGCCCAGAAGGCCTCTGGAGACCAGATTTAAATTGAGGACTAAGGAGAAGACAGTGGCACAAGAGACAGAGACACTGCCATGCATGAGGAAAGGATGGGCACAGAAGGTGACTTGGAGCAGGCTCCTCAAAGAGCAGCCCTTTGGTAATTGGACAAAAGCAGCCAGCACGGTACTGGGGTGGGAATAATACAATCCTTCTGTGCACTCAGGTGACCCAGCTTGTATTTTCTACTTTGGGCCATTTGAAGTGCTGGTTCACAGCTCTACAAAGGGGAGAGCTGGGGCAAAGAAAGAGCAGACATGCAGAGGCCTTGTTTCACCACTCAGCTGTCCTGGGAAACTTCAGGGAGGGGATGTGCACTTAATATGTGAGTTGGCAAGCAGGTGGGTTCTTTACTGACCCAAGTGACCCCTCTGTCTCACCAATCAAAGCTCATTCAGCACTGTGGTGGGGAGCCAAGTGTGTGCTATCATGGGGTCCTGGCTTCTTTGCCAGAACCCCTACACCTCTTAACCTGGCCCTGACAACTCCCTTCTTCTTAAGCATGAAGGGCTCCGGCTTCATGCTTGTGAGCCACTCACTCTCTTCTTGTTCTGGGTCCCTGTGGATAGGGGCAGCACACGCCATGCAAGAAGGTCCTGAGAGACTCCCCTAACTCAGGGGAAGCTCACCATTCCCACCAGAGACCAACAGGAAAATCCAGAGACCAGTATACACTTATAGGTCTAACCCTGCAGAGCTAAACAGAAAGTTACAAGAATTAATCCTAATTTTGGTAACTAAATGATTCAGTTTTACATTTCTATGCATTTACATTAAAAAAGGAGAGAGAGAATAGAGAAAAAGTATCTTACTTTGGGGTTCAAGTCAAAGAAAGTGTAGTATTTAAATCGTAACAGCAGCTGCTCATCCTCCTGAATGCCTTGCTCCATAAGGGAACGTGAGGAATCTAGCCAACTAGAAAACAAGAAGATAAGTTTTAAAAGTCAATCAATTTTACACACATATTTTAGTATTATATAATATGATATATATACATATACATGTAAATGTATGCATGTATGTCAATACACACCCTTGAACAAAGTCTGGGTGAGTAACATAGTCTAAACCCAGTAAAGGAGATGACTTGATAATAGCTGTGCCTCCATTTTATCACACAGCAGTCTAAGTGCTCTTTCGTATTTATGTATTTTCTCACTGACACTTTAGAGTAAATCAGTGAAGGAGCCAGGGCAGTTATTATTTTCCTAGTTTTAGCAATGAGGAAAATGAGCCTCAGTAACATTAAGTGACATGTTCAGGGTCCTGTGCCTCCTGGTGGAGCCAGAATGAGAACCTGCAGTTGCTGACTGCTGCATGTACTTGTGCTGTGTGTACTTGCTGACTGCTGCCCACTTCCACACCAGGTGATCTGACCCCAAAGTGGCTTTATCTTATTGTCTAGAACTTTCTGTAACTATGGAAATATTCTGTATTGCCCAGTCCAATTGAATAGCCACTAGCCACACGAGGCTACTGAAGATTTAGATGTGGCTAGTGCCATGTTTTAATTTTAATTATATTCAAACATAAATGTAAATGTCTGCATGCTGCTGGTGACTCCTATACTGGGTAGCACAGATCTATAGTCTGAAAGATAAATACTGGGTAATGGTAAGAAGAGAATAAAAGTTAACAACAAAATGAGGTGGGAATGAGGGGCCTCCAATACCACTGAAAATGGCTTGAACTTCTATATATGAATATATGGAAGTTCATTTTACATGTTTTATATATTTTATATATGTTCATATAAATTGATTTTATTTATTTACATATAAAATATTCTATTATATAATCATATACTCCCCTGTGGGAGAATAAGAATATCCAAGATGCAGTCTCCATCCGAAAGGAACTGACAGTCAGTGGGGTGACCAAGCCTCATATTAAAGAAACAAGGTGACTTTGGAGCAGTAGAATAGGACTTGAGGAAATGACTGATCTTCTGAGAAGAATGTAAGTGGCTGGGCCTTATAGGACAAACGTGGACAGGCCAGCAGAGCAGGAGGGAAGGAGAGGGTCCTGGAGCAGAGGAAAAGCTGGAGGCAAGGCAGTGACACAGGAATGAGCATGCACTTTGGGGGGATGGGGAGCATGAGAGCATAGCAGGACAGACAGATGGACATACGTGGGGTCTGATCTCACGGGATCAAAGGAGAGTATGAACTAGGATCCGGGGGAGTGGAATGCTAACAAATGTGACTTGACTTGGACAACAGTGAGTGAAAGAAGTGGTGGTTTGAGAAATAGTTTGAGTGTATTTTCTGAGACCACTTCAAAGCTTAAGGACTCACTAATTGGAATGCAGAATGGAAAAGGGGTGCTCTACAAAAGACAGCGGGGCCACTTGGGTCTCCCTTGCTGCCACAGATGGGACCAGCCCACTTATAAGCTGATCTACATCTCATAAAATTTGCACACGTGTCTGAACAAAGAATTAGCATTCACATGCCAGTAAACCATTGAGTTAACCCAATATGTAAATGTCACACTTTAAATGTATGGAAATGAAAAATGGCTACATTTTGTCTTTTTTGTTGCTAAAATCAGTGCTGACCTTTGTGTATAGTATACAATTCCTAGGTGTGCTGACTTGAGAACTGAACAACCCCTCCCTGCTTCATCTCTGCAGCATCTCTCTCACTACATTAACATCAGTTCACAGAGAAGTAAAACAAGTCATGTTCTTACCCTGCATTAAGCTTGGCTTTGTCAGCCAGAGACCGAGCCTGGTACATATCAGCAAGTGCTTCTGGTGATTGTGGGGGCTGGCTGAATGCCAGGATGCTGCAGTTTTGTTCTGTCAGAGGGCTGTCGCTGAACCAAGTCATTGTGGACGATGCTGGCGTTCCATTTATGGGGTCATATGTGGGGGTCATGGTTTTACTGTATAAGCCAGGACTTACTGCAAAGCAAAGGAGAGTACGAACTAGGATATGAGATTTGGGATAAGAATCTTTAGAACAATAATTACCAACACTGCTTGTACTAAAATGGATTTTGAACTTAAATGTATCATTTAGAAAAATCAGATGAACGATGGCAGAAGTTAAACACAAGTAAAACTCCAGTCTGAATATTTAGTCCCTGGAAAGCTTGGAAACTCATAGGCTGTAAAAACTTCCAAAATCAACCCAGACAAATGTGGGACTATCTCCTTCTCAATAATTCAAAATTCTCTTATATCAGTAGTGAATTCTGGCACTATTAGAAAACTGGAGCTCTCACAGAATACATGCATATACTTTATTCTTTGGCAAATCTCTTAAATTGCAATGCTTACCAGTTTAAAGAACTTAGCTAGTTGATGGTTTATAAATCATCTGACTCTAATTTGCATAAGGGAAGTATAAATAATCCCTTTCATTCTTTGTACTGGAATATACTATGCAAGAAACTCTTAGTGCTGCAAGCAAGCTAGAGATTCATTCTTATATATAGGCATATCTCATTTCATCATGCTTCAAATATATGTTTTTTTGTTTTTTAACAAGTTGAAGGTTTGCAGCAACTCTGCATACAGTAAGTCTACTGGCACCATTTTTCCAGTGGCATTTGCTTACTACAGTGACTCTGTGTTACATTTTGGTAACTTCTCCAATATTTCAAACTTTTTTCATTACTATTATATTTGTCACTGTGATCAGTTATCTTTCATTTTACTACTTACTACGACTTGCTGAAGGCTCAGATGATGTTAGCATTTTTAGCAATAAAATATTTTAAATTAAAGTATGTACATTTTAAAAAGACATACTGCTACTGCACTATTAATGGTAGCAATATAGTGTAAACATAACTTTTATACGCGCTGGGAAACAAAAAAAAGTTTTATGTAACTTGCTTTATTAAAGCTGTCTGCAGTATCTCTGAGTATGTCTGTAAAAATAAAAGGATGACACTTTTCTAGAATTTTTACTGCCCCTCCTGTTACATACCCAATGCAAGATTTAAACTGAGTTCAGGAAAGAGTCATGTGAAGGTAGACTCAGGAAGAGAAGTATATTTGAGCGATCTAACAAATTTCCTTATCCCACAAATTCATGGTCAATTCTGCTAAAGTTTTTCATTCATCAGCAACATAATATATACAATTAAAATAATGAGCTATATAACATACCTTATTAAAAAATTTCTGTTCTAAAATTAGTTGGATATTCTTTCCTTATCACTGGAATCCTTAGTTTTAGTCCTTGTTTAGGGAGAGAGGCGGGAAGGCTAAGTAGAGGGGAGGAGAGTTCTTGGGACTTAAGAATTTAAGAAATTCTTGGATTTAATGATAAATTAAAATAATGAAACACTTATCATGAATCTTACCAGATGGACCTGAAATTGTTGGAGAACCCTCCAGGTTTAAAATATCTTCAATTATGGGCTCCTTATTATTTTTTTCTTTTTTCTTCTTCTTTTTAAAATATTCACCTGAAGGCTTTAATAAGGACAGTTCTTCTGCTCTTCTAATATCTAAAAATAAATATAAAAAAGAAAAGCAAGAAGTAAAAAGAAAATTCCTTCTAAGACTTTGAGTCATGTTGGGCATTTGAAACCATTTCTCAAAAAACTCCTGAGAAGTAAATGGAACTAAATGACATTCCTTTTGAAGAAATTGAAGATCAGTGACCCCCAAAATGGGTGTGTGGGGATCAAACAGTGGAGGGAGATTCATTCTAGGAAAATTTCTAGTTTGTTTTTAAATCTATAGTGAAACTATTTCAAACATATTCAATGCTAGTATGGTGGCCCCCCTCCCATGCTCGCCGCCCCCTTAAACCATTCCTAGTGTTTCGCTGTTCTTGTGTCATTTACTTACTAGCAGTTTCCCCCTCCTTCCTTCCTTCTTTCCTTTCTCCCTTCCTTTTCTGCTTTTAGGTTTTTAAGCAACCAGCAAGGACTCCATCTTTTTCTTTATGGACCAGTGGTCCTCAGAGCCTTTCTCTGCCCATTGGCTTCTTCCATCACTGTGGCAGACATCCTAGGCACCTTGTCCATCTCCTGGCCCTCCCCATTTTGGTGCACCTCCCTCCAATGGTAGCTAGGATGTATCTCTTTATCCAAGGGCCTGCTCTGGATGCCAGAGTCCTCACTCCCCAGAGATGCAACAGGTCACATAAGTTCAGAGAGTTAACACTCTCCAAGAGCAGCCTTCAATGACTCAGTGACTGGTGGAATGGTATATTAACACCCCGGCTCGCTCACCCCTCAGTTGCCCAGCTCCAAGGCATGACCACACCGCTTCCCAGAGGGCCCCAGCTGTCCACAGTGTGAGCTGATTAGTGACACTAGCTTATTAGCAGCCTTCTCTTCCCAATCTCAGAGAAGGCAATGGCACCCCACTCCAGTACTCTTGCCTGGAAAATCTCATGGACGGAGGAGCCTGGTGGGCTGCAGTCCATGGGGTCACTAAGAGTCGGACACGACTGAGCAACTTCACTTTAATTTTTCACTTTCATGCATTGGAGAAGGAAATGGCAACCCACTCCAGTATTCTTGCCTGGAGAATCCCAGGGACAGGGGAGGCTGGTGGGCTGCTGTCTATGGGGTCGCACAGAGTCGGACACGACTGAAGTGACTTAGCAGCAGCAGCAGCTTCCCAGTCTCACTTCACCACTCCCAGCCAATGTTTCCTGGCATAAGCTTTCAAATAAATAATATTTGTACTTGAATTCTTATCTCAGGTCTGCTTCTGGAGAACTCAAGCTAAGAAGATAGTCCCCACTGTCCTCCATTACTCAAATATACTTCTAACTGCCATTTCCAATTAGAACTGATTGTACACTGAACTGTTATGATCCCAGGTAAAAATCAAGGAATGTGGATGTTAGAATCTCTGGGCAGCTTTCCTGGAAGTAAATGCACTAATTCCACAGGTATTCCCACCTCTTAGTTCAGCTGAGGTTGAATCTGGCAGTTGAGCTGCCAGTAAACAAAGTCAGGTTGCAACACACACCTGTAACCATTCCAAATGCATAATTTATACACAAAATCAGGAGATGAATAAAAATTCCCAGTGGAAGCATTAGTAACAAAACAAAACAAAAACCCCACTGATATCTAAGCCCAAGGTTTGTATATTGTCTTGTCTTTGAGAGAAAAAAAAATCATCCTGTTGCTAGATTTGATTTAAGTTCAGTTGGTCAGATATAAAAAGTGATCGTTAGGGAATTCCCTGAAGTTTCAGTGGTTAGGTCTTGGAACTTTCACTGCAGGGGGCATAGGTTGAAAGTTCAATCCCTCAATAAGGAACTATGATCCTACATGCTGTGCATCTTGGCCAAAAAAAAAGTGATTATTAGAAATGCCAAGTTGAGTCATTTAGAGTTACCATGAAGGTGTAATCTGGAAAGAAAAGAATGTATGAATGCTTCTGTTTATTTAAAAACTTCAAATTTTTGAACCCAGCTATAATGTGTGTTTCTAGTCCACTGTGGTGTCTGAAATGTACATTTTATTTACTCATTTACTGTTTTAAAATTTTCATTAGAATATTATTGAAAGCCAGGTACCTTGTGCTCATATCATTTGCTCCCCATGCATCAAGGACAATTCTGGAACTTACCTTTTGTAATGGAAGCTTCCAATCATTTGTCTGGTCAGCAAACAGTTGCTAAGCAGGTGACATGTGTCGGGCATTGTGCTAAGTGTTAGGAACAGACATGCTCAAGAAACGGCTGTCTTCATCCTATATAATACCATACCAGCCTGCACCACTCAACACTGGCACTCTAATACTGTGTACATTATTAGACGTTTTTCCTTTTCTTCCTCCATTACCTACCCCCTTTTAACATCTTATTTTTTACATGATTTATTTTCTGTCTCTGTATGCTACAATGAAAGCTCAGGGAGGGCAGAAGGTTTGGATTATTTTTATTGCTAACCAATCTCTAGCACTCACCATAGTGCCTGCTAAGTCAAAATATATATTTGCTGAAGGAATGAATAAGCAATTTACAGTTTAATGGGGAAGATAGATCACCTACTCGCATAGTGTGTATACTATGCTCAAATACTAAATATTAGCCTGGAACTCAAGAATATACCTACACACTCAAAAACTATACTTTCTGACCCAGAGTTTGCTACTATTATGGAAGTCCCAGAAAGAAGAAATGGTTTGGGCAGTGTTGTCCCCAAAGGCTGTTAAAATTTTTGATCCATAATTAACTGTATGTTTCTGCTTAAAATAAACTCCACAAATGATGTTTATGGACAGAGTTATTTACTGGAGCCAAGTGTTAGGGAGGCAATTAAGACATTGCATCACCATTATCTCAAAAACAACATAGACATATCAGCTCTATGGTGATAATGATTTAATGGAACTCTTTTTGTTTGTCTTCAATATAACAATTTCAGTATGACTTAGGGAAATGAGTTTTGGGGTGGAAATCTTAATGGAGCTGTCTTTTCTGTTTACAAGTTTCTTTTGAAATAGCTTTAAGCTTTGGATAAATGAACCTGATTTACTCTGATAATGCTCTATCTAGTTTAACTTCACTTAAATGGCTAAAGTCCCCAGAACTGGGCTTGAAAACTGTTCTCCTAATAAGGGATGTAAAGGCAACCACTTGTGGGCAGAAGTGCATGTATTTTCCTGTCCTCTTTTGCTGGGAGTACAGAGGGTAGAGGTGCCTGCCTGCGGGGACTCACTCAGGGCTCTGCAGATGTCGCTGACAGCTCTGAAGACCACAGTTGAGAAGCTGACTCGCAGTCGCACTGTCTTCATGTTTGGCAGGCGGAGGCGAAGCATTTTATGCTGAGGGGTAAAGACAAGCTTTGCATCTGCCTGGACCCCACATTTGTCCAGAGTCCAGTGTGTTTTCAGAAGCCAGCAATGTTTCTGTTCCCACCAAAGGGCAAAGTCTGACCAGTCCTGGGCTATGTCTGCAAGAATAGAGAACAGAGCGCAGTAAAGTGAGAGCAAGCACTTGCACCCTGAAGTCAACTCCTGCATGTGCAAAACCAAAGCCAATGCTGGTCTTCCACTCTCATCTCTTCCCACAACCCAAGGCTCCATCATTCTTGGCTTCTTGTCAAAGTCCCTAAGACAAGGTAGCTAGAAGACTGACCGAACCTTACTTTCTTTATATATAAATACTATGGAAGGAACAGAAACATACAACTTTTATTCACGATAAAATGCTAAAGTTTTCTTCTCCCAAGTCCCTCAGTGCCATGGTCCTTTCTGGGAAGGCCAGAAGCAAGGCTTTGTTTAATCAAGATGATTTCTCTAATAGAAAAGAAACCTTCCAGGTCCCTGGTGGTCTGGTGGTTAAGAATCCCCCTTTCAATGCAGGGGTTGTGGGTTTGATCCCTGGTCAGGGAACTAAGAACCCACCTGCTGTGGGGCAACTAAGCCCATGTGCTACAACTAGAGAAGCCCACGCACCACCAACACCACCACAATGAGGAAAAATAGATGAATCCTTCAGACACTGGCTCACAGGAGAATATCAAAAGCTTCCGGTCAAAGTGCACACAGAACTACTGAGAAGTTTACATTTCACTGTTCTCAGGAATGTCCACCTGTTATCAGTACCACTGCATTACCAGTTTCCAAAACTGTTTACACTAAAATCAAAGCTGAATATTTATCTCTCAGTGGTAGCATCAACACTGAACCCTTCCACTTCTTCAATGCCCCTTGGCATCAAGATTGAATCTTTCCCCCTTGCCAATGTTAGAGTCATATTCAATCTTTTATTTTGCTAAATTAAGAGCCACCAGTACTTTTACTTAAAAAATGGTTTCTTCCTCTTTCTCTCCTTTTAAATTAGACAACCTTTCTCTCAGTGCTATTAGTAGAAGTATAAATGCTGTAGGCTTTCCCCATGGCTCCGTGGTAAAGAATCTGCCTGCATGCAGGAGATGTGGGTTCAATCCCTGGGTTGGAAAGATTCCCTGGAGGAGGGCATGGCAACCCACTCCAGTATTCTCGCCTGGAGAATCCCATGGACAGAGGAGCCTGGCGGGCTACAGTCCACGGGATCACAAACAGTCAGACATGACTGAAGCAACTGTGCACAGCATAGTGTAGCATAAATGCTGTAATGCTGTAACTACTTTGGAAAGTCCTATGATTCAGTGACTTTTCTCTGATCTATATACCCAACAGAAATGCCTATACTTACCTAAGACAGGTACTATCTATAAAAGCCCCCATATGTAAAGAACCCAATATCCATAAACCATCAGGTAAATGGATAAATTGCAGGGAAAAAATCATATAATGGAATATTATACAGCAACAAGAATCAAAGAACCCAAACTATATGCAATAAAATGGATAAATCTCACAGACATAATGTGGAATGAAAGAAAGCAGATGCTTGAAGGTATATTATCCTGTATAATTCCACATATATACAGCTTGCAAACAAGTAAAATTATTCCTTTGGAGTAACAATTCAGGGTAAGAGCTACCCTTAGTGGGACAGTGGCTGGGAGGTGTCAGATGTGGGACTTGGGTGGGGGAACAGGTACTGCTTTGTATCTTGATCTGGGTGATGGTTATATGACTTTGTGAAAATTCACTGAAATATACACTTAGCAATTTTTGTATGTATATTATATTCCAATGAAGACTTAACTTAAAAATACTTTATATCACTAGTATAAGTGAAAAGCCAACATTGGTGGTCTTAAATAGAAGACAAAAAAATAAATGCAAAGAAAATACAACATTAAATTCTAGGTCCATCATGTTGACTCCTGATGTGAAGACTCTGACTCTGAAGACTTCTTTCCTTGTTTAAACAAGAGCTACAGGCTGGATGCACGAGACAAGTGCTTGGGCCTGCTGTACTGGGAAGACCCAGAGGAATCGGGTGGAGAGGGAGGTGGGAGGGGGGATTGGGATGGGGAATACATGTAAATCCATGGCTGATTCATGTCAGTGTATGACAAAAACCACTACAATACTGTAAAGTAATTAGCCTCCAACTAATAAAAATAAATGGAAAAAAAATAATAAACAAGGGCTAATAGCAAACGGTGGGTAAGGACACTGGCACCAGGCTGCTTGCTCACAGAGAAATCAAGCATTAACAAAAAATCACATTAATAGTCTAAAGCCCCAGGTGTGGTCTAAGGTTACCCTAGATGTCACCATGGAGGGTGACCTCATTCCAGTGCAAATAGGTTATTACACCTACTGGGGAGCTTCCGTTTGCTACCAAAGACTCAAGTTTTGACAGAAGGGGTCAGGGGGTTGTTTGGGCTCCTTCAGGGCTCCCCATTTCTCTTCTTCCTGAAAAAAGGAGCCATTGCAAGATGGATGATCAGAAAAACTTAGTCAGACAGCCTAGTTCAGTCATTCAGTGATGATGCGACATAGAGGGTTTCAAATGTCGAGAAACCATAAATAGGCAGCAACTTACTTATCTGTTCCACTAACTTGAGCATCACTCCCCCAATGTGCAGGTCTCCAGACACTCTCAGTGTGATGTCCTTCTGCTCCTCTTCATTTGGATGATCAACTCGGACCACAAGCTCCCAAGAAGCAGATGCAAAGTCAGTGGATGAAAGCATTGTGGCAAATACAGGTGTCTACATGAAAAAAGGCAGACAGACCAGAAGGAAACTGAGGCTCGTTAGGTAGACTCTGCAGAACAAAACTTTCTTTTCTCTAATTTTTAGTCCCCTCCTCAAAAATGCTGCAGAGTACCTGATATTAAATTCAACATCTTAACTTTAAAGACAAAAAGTCTTATAAAAATGATCTCTTCTAAATCTCTTGTACTTTAAACTTTCCACCCTCCCAGGTCCACCTAGCTATTTATTTTCTGTGCCTGCCCAATGCATCCATCCCTTTCTACCGACTTTTCTTGACCTTCTATGAACTACTTTAGCAATAGGCAACAAATCATGACAATGCTTGACACACACATAAAAAATCACATTTATTGAAGTATAATTTGCATACAATAAAAGGCATTGAATTGAAATGTATACTTTGATGCATTTTATTGTATGCATATTATACCTAAATAGAGTTGATTTTAAAAAGAATATCATTGAAATCTATACATAGATATTATTACATTCCTCCCATAAAATAGTAAGGGCATTTTCTGGTATGAAAATTAAAAAAAAAAAAACACAAGAACAAAATAGTTCCTTTTTTAGTCATATAACATGTAGTTTTATCTTAAGCACATAAGAGATACAGGTCATTAATAATTTGTTTTTGTTGTTCAGTCATTAATTCATGCCCCTCTCTTTGTGACCCCATGGTCGTACGCTAGGCATGCTAGGCTTCCTTGTCCTACACCATCTTCCAGAACTTGCTCAAACTCATGTCCATCCACATGTCCATCTTGATTCCAGCTTGTGAGTCACCCAGCCCAGCATTTCGTATGATGCATATAAATTAAATAAGCAGGGTGACAATATATACCCTTGACGTACTCCTTTTCTAATTTGGAACCAGTCCATTGTTCCATGTCCAGTTCTAACTGTTGCTTCTTGACCTGCATATGGGTTTCTCAGGAGGCAGGTAATGTGGTCTGGTACTTCCATCTCATTAAGAATATTCCACAGTTTGTTGTGAACCACAGAGTCAAAGGATTTAGCATAGTCAATGAAGCAGATGTTTTATTTGAATTCCATTGCTTTCTTCATGGTCCAACAAATGTTGGCAATTTGATCTCTGGTTCCTCTGCCTTTTATAATTCCAGTTGGTATATCTGGAAGTTCTCGGCTCACGTACTGCTGAAGCCTACTGCACAGGATTTTGAGCATAATCTTGCTACCACTGAAATTAGTGCAATTGTACAGTAATTTGAACATTCTTTGGCATTGCCTTTCTTTGGGATTGGAATGAAAACTGACCCTTTCCAGTCCTATGGCCACTGCTGAGTTTTCCAAATTTGCTGGCATATTGACTGTAGCACTATCACGGCATCATCTTTTAGGATTTGAAATAGCTCAGCTAGAATTCCATAACCTCCACTAGCTTTGTTTGTAGTGATGCTTCCTAAGGACCACTTGACTTCAAATTCCAGGATGCCTGGCTCTAGGTGAGTGATCACACCATCTTCTGTGCATTCTTGCCACCTTTTCTTAATCTCTTCTGCTTTTGTAGGTCCTTACCATTTTTGTCCTTTATTGTGCCTATCTTTGCAATGAAATGTTCCCTTGCTATCTCCAGTTTTCTTAAAGAGATCTCTAGTCGTTCCAATTCTATTATTTTCCTCTATTTCTTTGCATTGTACACTTAAGAAGGCTTTCTTATCTCTCCTTACTATTCTCTGGAACTTTGCATTCAGTTGTGTATATCTTTCCCTTCCTCCTTGCCTTTCACTTCTCTTCCTTTCTCAGCTTCTGTAAGGCCTCCTTAGAGGTCTTTGCCATTTCCTTCTCCAGTGGACCAGATGTCCACAGGACAACATGGCAGCAGCAGCCTGAAGAGGCACTGGCGGCCTGGGAAGCAGCTTCAGAGAGATCACACCGGAGATGGAGATGGGAGCAGAGAGCAGGAGGAGAGGAGAGGTTGGGGCCAGAGCTCGGCGGTGGTGGGGGATTGGCTCCAGGGTGACCCGCAGCAGCAGAGAGGCCGAGAGGGGCCCTCTGCTCCTGGGTGGTGGATCAGCCCCATGGTGGCCAGAGGCAGCACATATTCAACTTACTTGAGTTACCATTTTATATTATATATATCATGTAAGTTTTTGGACACACTTTTGGCAAAATATTTAAAACAGGAGTGACAGACATACAATCCCCCTCTTCAAAGTACAGATGGGGTGAGTGCTTCAAACCCACAGTGTCCCATCATTGGAGGAACTAGGATGAATGAAGCTAAGCAGTATCAAAACTGAGTGTTTTGAGTAAAACAGGAAGACTGGAATCCCAAATTTGCAAAACTTAAAAATGTCAACTCTCTCTTAAGTAGGAAGCAAATGATAATACCTCTCCTGGCTATTTTAAGATTTGAAATAAAAATCTGTCGTTTAAGTGATGACAAATCTGTTTCACTTTGCTAGGTAAAGACAGCTTATGAGAAATCCCTGTTTTCATAAGGCCTGTTCTTGAAAATCATCAGTGTATGCAAAGGGCCCGGGAAAGGGTCTCTCTAGGGGAAAGTGCACAGGAACCCTGTGGATCCTATTTATATGCAGATTTTATTCACCAGGATCTTATTAACATGCAGGCTCTAGTCAGAAGATCTGGGATGGATGTGGAAACCCTGCATTCATAACCAACTCCAGCTGATGCTAGTCTTCATCTTACACTGTTAAAGTCACAACAGTCACTTAAAAAATTAGCTCCAGTACTCAGTTCCTCCCTTCCACCTAATTAGATCAGTATTAAGCTGCTGCTGCTGCTAAGTAGCAGTACTTGTCCAGGCAAGAGTACTGGAGTGGGGTGCCATTGCCTTCTCCGAGTATTAAGCTAGGAACTCCAATACTTTGGCCACCTGATGCAAAGAGCTGATTCATTTGAAAAGACCCTGATGCTGGGAAAGATTGAGGGCAGGAGGAGAAGGGGATGACAGAGGATGAGATGGTTGGATGGCATCACTGACTCAATGGGCATGGGTTTCGGTGGACTCTGGGAGTTGGTGATGGACAGGGAGGCCTGGCGTGCTGCGGTTCATGGGGTCGCAAAGAGTCGGACACGACTGAGCGACTGAACTGAACGAAGCTAGGACCATGGTGACCTCTGAGGAACATTATTTTTAATATTAAGCACTAAATCCTGTGGACAGGGGAGCCTGGCAGGCTCCAGTCCATTTGGTCACAAGAGTTGGACATGACTTAGTAACTATACCACCAACCACTAATTTTAGTAAAAACTCTCAAGAAAGTGGGCATAGAGGAAACCTACCTCAACATAATAAAGCTCATACATCAGAAACCCACAGCAAACATCATTCTCAGTGATGAAAAGGTGAAAGCATTTCCTTGTAAGATCAGGAACAGGGACTTCACTGGTGGTCCAGTGGTTAAGAATCCACCTTGCAATGAAGGGGACATAGGTTTGATCCCCTGTAGGGGAACAAGATCACACATACCCTGGAGCAACTACTGAGCCTGTGCACTCCAGAGCCTCTGTGCCAAAACTAGAGAGCCCACATGCTGCAACTACTGAAGCCTGCATGCCACAACTAGAGTCCCTGTGAGGCAATGAAGGATCCCACGTGTTGCAAATAAGACCTGATGCATATAAATAAATAAATAAAGATCAGGAACAAGACAAGGATGCCCACTACAGCCACTTTTATACAACATAGTATTGGAAGACCTAGCCACACCAATAAGACAAGAAAAAGAAATAAAAGGAAGCCAAACTGGAGAGGAAGCAGTAAAACTGTCACTGTTTGCAGATGACAGGACACTGTATATAGAAAACCCTAAAGATGCCACCGGAAAACTACTAGAGCTAATCAATGAATCTGGTAACATTGCAGGACATATATATATAACATATATATAAGTTATATATATAATTTATATATATATATAGGTTTCTATATATAGAAACATATATATGTTTATATATATATATATATAGAGAGAGAGAGAGAGAGTAATCTGTTGCATTTCTGTACACTAACAATGTACAGACAGAGAAATTAAGGAAATAATCCTACTTACCACTACATCTAAAAGAATAAAATACTTAGTCATAAACCAACCTAAGGAGGTAAAAGATCTGTACTTAGATCTATTTACAAGACACTGATGAAAGAAATGGAAGATTATACAAACAGATGGAAAGATATACCATGTTCATGGGCTGGAAGAATTAATATTGTTAAAATGACTATACTATGCAAGGAAATCTACAGATTTAGTGCAATCCCTATAAAAATACCAAAGGCATTTTTCACAGATCTAGAACAAATAATGTAAAAATTGGTATGGAAACACAAAAGGCCACCAATAGTGAAAACAAGCTTGGAAAAGAAGAACGGAGCTAGAGGAACCATGCTTCCTGATTTCAGATTACACTACAAGGCTACCGAACTCAAAACAGCATGGGACTGGCACAAAAACAGACACTTAGATCAGTGGAATAGAACAGAGAGCTCAAAACCAAACCCACACGCTTATGGTCAATTAATCTATAGCAAAGGAGACAAGAATATACAATGGAGAAAAGACAGTCTCTTCAATAAGTACTACTGGGAAAACTGGACAGTTACAGGTAAAAGAATGAAATTAGAACACTCTCTAACACTATATACAAAAATTCAAAATGGATTAAAGACCTAAATGTAACCAGAAACCATAAAACTCCTGGAAAAAAACCATAGGCAGAACACCCTTTGACATAAATGGTAGCAACATTTTTCTTTTTCTGTCTCCTAAAGCAAATGAGATAAAAGCAAAAATAAACAAATGGGAGCTAATTAAACTTAAAAGCTTTTGTATAGCAAAGGAAGCTATAAACAAAACAAAAAGGCAGCATATAGAATGGGAGAAAATATTTTTAGAAGATGTGACAGACAAGGGATTGATTTCTAAAACATACAAACAGCTCATACAGCTCAATTAAAAAAACCCTACCCACTCAAAAAATGGGCA